AAAACTAGCCAAGGTCTGGTACACAGTAGTCAGTAAGCCGGCAAACAAGACAAAACAGGGATAGAGAGATAAACGGAGTCAGATACAAAGCCAAGGTCAAGCACGAAAATCACAACTGAACACAACAAGCGCTAAAGGGAACTGAAACAGAAAACACAATAGGGCAGGAAGTTAAGGGAGAGGTAAGTATAAATACCCTAAACTTTACTTTGATTGGCCCCTGTCATATCCACGCCCCCAAAATGTGAGTGTATAGGGAATGTGGGATGACAGGGGCCAATGGGAGCACATTTCATCTTTTGGCTCCCACTGCCCCTTTAAGAGCGTGTCCGAGACGCGCGGCACACTCTTAGAGCTAGGTGGGACACATGGCCGCATCTCGCGGTCCGTGCCCGCCTTCATTCGATAACCGCGCGCGGCGGGAAGTGAGGACCTCGGCCGCCCCCCGGGTAAGGTAAGTACCGCTACTCTTGGCAGCTAGAGTTTCTGACACTTACACCGATGAGCATGTATGAGATGTAATAGAGATTTACTCCCTACTCATTTCACCGTTATCTATCAAATCCCAGCTATAGCATTTCCATCTACCCTGAATACACAACGGTAGGTTTTATTACCTAGAATGCCAAGATGGGGGTTTAATAAACTAATACAGAAGCATATTAACCTTTTGATTAACTCACTGATGCGAGAAAATTGGTAATACTTGAATTTTGATAGTAACAATGTAAGAATAAGATGTAGTACTGCAACCTCAAAGATGCTTTACCATTCGGAAGACTGACAAAACAGTGCAGATACAAAAGCAGACAAACAAACAAACAAAAAACAAAAAAAGAAAACATAATGAAAAAAAAAGAGATACAATAGAAATAAAATGCAGTAACAAATAAAATACATCGGCACTAAGAGCTAATCACTCTCTGCCACTAAATACATATACATTCTCATTTATTTCTCCCTTTCGTAAATAACCCTGTATATCACAGATATAAATATGTTATTCTCCTAGTCATTTAAAGAGTAAAACCAGGAAAGCATTGGAGGGGAGAGCACTTTGCTGGCATGCTGCTGGGCTTGCTATCCTGACGTGACTCTTTAATAGTCATTATTAAAATTACAAGCCTCAATTTATATGATTGTTTTCATAAGCTTTGGAATTAAATTTCAGAAAGAAGACCTTCGATGCTTGTTCTATTTTCTGATCACACCTCACACAATTAGCAGCCGTAATGAGCGAAAAACCCACTTAATAACATCTCCGTAACGATAGTAAATTATGTTCTATTATGTTACAAAGTCCCTGTTTAATATACATTGTTATTATTAAGATCACAATAATGATCAATTTCCTCGGAGATGTGAGTGAATCAAAAGGTTAATATGCTTCTATATTTACTTAAATTAAACCCCCCCATCTCGGCATTCTATGTAATAAAACCTCCTGCTGTGTATTCAAGGTAGATGGAAATGCTATAGCTGGGATTTGATAGAGAAGGGTGAAATGAGTAGTGAGCGAATCTCTATTACATCTCACACATGCTCATCAGTGTAAGTGTCAGAAACTCTAGCTGCCAAGGACCACAAAATAATATCCATTTATTATCTCTGCAGGGAGATATTATGACTCATTTTTTAAAATTCTTCATTTAGTTTCACGATGTCAATAAATCAAAACAGCGTACAATTAAATACATCCCATTTGTGATGTCAACATCATTTTTTATTCATCTAATCAGTTACAATGGCATAGAAAATTCTAAGAGCAAATTGAAAATCATATGCTACGGCAATGGTATTTATTAGATAGCATCAGCAACGTACACATGGAAACTGGATATGTTTACCCTAGAAACCCTTCTCTTGCTCTACACATTGGTCGCTACTGTTAGCAGCAAGTAGTGGCTGTTCGACTTGTGCCAGTTTCAAAAGTAGTGATAAGACATTACCAACACCTGGTGTTAGACAACCAAATCGCTAACAGCTCACGTATTTCTCTACAGGAAGAACACAGCGATTGGTTGCAACCTTGTCGCTACGTTTACCGGCTGCCACTAAGCTTCCAAATTGTAACTAACTGAATAATTTTGCTGCTGGTAAAGTAATAATTTAACAACAGATCGCACACGGATGCACTGGACTATCTAAAAGTGTTGCTGCTTTGAAGGCTTTATACCCAGGAATTTATTACACTGGAGCTGTGCGTTTACGCTATGTTCTGATATCGCCTGCCAGACTAGTAAACCTCATGGATCTTTTAAAACAAATACATGAGTAAATAAATATATTTTTTGCTTACGCTGGTTTTTGCATGCACTAATGAATCAGTTAAGGTGATGTTGGGGGAAGATGCGCTTTTTTTTCACAATCTGCATACAGTGCATTTTTTCACTTTTATAGGCGGATTTATTTTTTTACTTTACCCACAATTTTTCAACTCACAGCAACCCGCTGATTACTGAGTAGACCCCTATATATACTTTCTTTGACAAACTTAAGGACAACTTTGGATTATATCCAAACCATAAAAAATCTTTTTGGGACCCATATGGAATAGATTTGCTTTTTCAGAGTCTCTGTAGAGTGTGTTTTAAGCACTGCGGTGAGCGTTGTGTAATACATTGTATAAATAGTTTCTGTTACAACACAGAGCCACGGTAATACTGGCTCTGTTGCTATGATTGACCTGCTGTAATGAAAGGGTTTATTTGTCCCCGCAGTGAGTCGTGATTCATTATAAGGACAGAACCTTATTAGTGAACTTACCTTGACTACCTCGTGCTGTTATTAATTAAATATCTCCTAAGCAGATTCGTACTGCATTAATAATGGCAGCTATGAATAATGAAATGTCCCTCTTCCCCTGGTGAATCATTCCTTAGGATATAGCACATACAGATCAGATTAATAACATTGGAGTGAGACTATGAGAGAAGTGAAATGAAACATTACGGTTAATGAAAGACCTCTGTGCGCCTCTGAATCCCAGTTTTATTAAAACGCCGAATGTTAACTTTGGTTCATTCACACATTTCTGCTTTTCATGTTCAAGAGAAACGTAAATCCTTGTAAAATAAGTATTTTTTTTCAATCTAAATGCCATTTACGTTTAATCTTAGCTGCAATTTAAAATTAACTAATTGATGACTTACCAAGAGATATCAATCATTTGTAAAAAAATTTAAATATATTAATAACAATTGTAGTATGAATTATCATATTTTCGAATTCCCATAATGCACAGCGTAATTAACACTGTGAATTGTGGGGACTTTATGTTATACATGCTCAGAGTGGTGAAGATTAGTAAGATTTACACTTAAAAAAAGCTGTTGTTCTTTATAGCTACTGCCGTTAATATGTTGCCACTGCAAAATGGATTTGCTCAGAGAGGGACATTAGGGGAGAAGAGAATGGCAGTGTGTTTGCCTTCTCAGCTCCTCTCCCAGCATATCACCAGAGGTAATGGGGTTGAATTAAGAACAGCAGCTGAGATACTCCACTGCCAAAATAATAAATGAAAAAAAATAATAAATAAGTTTTTTGGTAGTTATACTACCAATGAAAACATGCATGCATTTAATTATGTATTTTATCATTGGGGGAATATCTAAAAACCGCTTGCAAACGGTGCAGATTTCTCGTCTACAGCCTTTGCAAGCCTTCCTCTTCTAACCCTGCCCTGCCTTTCTGTGGCTGTCTAATCACAGACTCCCAATGCAGCTCAATGAGAAGGCTTTGCAATGTAGGTGCTCTAAACAACTGCTGACCTTGAGTTTAGCTCCACCAATCCAGGAAGTAACTGAACTGGTTGTCTGATTGACAGGCAGGGGAGTGTAACAAGGTCAATTTATAAAAAGTGACCATCTCTATTGAAATTTGCACTTTATGTACAATGAACAAAAGGATACACTCTTCACAGATAAAGGACTTGCTGGGACATATATACCCTTATGTTGTTCTGAAATTAGAGGCCCCAAACTGTACAGTTTTAGTCCCACAGTGCATTATTGGATTTGAAAATATATTCATGCCATTCATATGGATGAATATAATGACATTAGTTTTTAATATTTTGTACAAAGACACTATATGTCCTGCTGCTGCCGCAAGATTAGAGATACTCTACTCTAGTTAAACTTTAATTACATTTTTTGTTAAAAAGCATATAAAATATAAATAACATTGAAATGTGTGTTTACAAAAAATAAAGCCATCATCTTTGGACTTGTGTTTATTATGATGTATAATAGTATTATTATCCCATAATATATGCTTCACCCTCTTCTATCCTCAATATATGTCACACAAACACATACATAAACAAGCAAACACACAGAGGCAGACACACACACATACAAACACATACACACCTCTTCTGGATT